GAAGTGCGTTGGAAGCATTTTGTGATAGGAAAATTATATATGATCTTATAGTGGTAATTAATCTAACACCGCCAAGTGGTTTAATGGAAATAATTAATTGATTGGCAATATGCATAGATGCGGAGTATTCCTCTCGAAATCTACTATCGCATACTATTGACTGTCAAAATTGTAGTTGTCATGATTTATGATTTGGCTAGTTACTTATACAATTGTCATCGCTATTTGTTTTCGCAGACCACAAGGATGAACTACTGAATTATTGTGAGAACTGTGCATCTCAACAGTGAGTGCTTCAATCCAAGTTATGAGACAAATTTCATCTATTTGAGTGCCCATGGTATTGTAGTGAGGAGAATTAGGAAATATGTAACGCAGTTGGAGCAACCTATGGAAATGAAGGTCCGAAAATAATGTGCGAATTCCCAATGATGAGTTCCATTTCATTCTTATATGAATACCATCGTAAAAAATGAAGCATATGCTGTGTTCAACAAGCAATTGTTTGACTAAGGATAGAGAGAGTCACTCTTCAAACTGATACTACCGTTCAAATGTAAATAGGTCTTAAGTGTCAAACTGGAGCGAGTGAATGGATGCTCATCTTCTACTGAGAATTTTGTGTGTGAGTTGAATGGGAACGGAGTAATTTAGGCATGTGTGACCATTGAGACAGGGCGAAAATAACTGGCTTCACAAACATAAAGAGATGGAAAGGTCTATCTAGCACAAATTAGCCTCATTTATTTATTTACATTAGTGAGATAATTAGCTTAGCATGGTTTCAACTTTTGAACTGAGTGATGAAATTGAACCTTGTTTCCAACGATTTAAATCTTGCTATATGGTGGTCCTGAGTTGAGAAAATATGTATGATGAGAAATAATTATAATATTAACAAAAAAATGATATTGAAAATTAATAGAAATAGTCAATTATGATAGCTGTTTGAATGGCGGTTTGTGTTGAAATTATATTGCTCAAATGAATAGTTTTTATTGTGTCTCGATTTTGTTTGTTTAAGTGTAATGAAACCTGCCGCCTCATTTGACTTATAGTTCACGATCATGGCGGCTTCAGCTCAGTGCCCCATATGTCTGGTGGAAATGAAAGCCTCAATTGGAATGCTAGGTGGATGTAAACACGTCTTCTGCTACGATTGCATCAAGAAGTGGTCTGAAACTAAACGAACCTGTCCTCTTGACCGTTTACCATTTGACTCAATCAAAATACTACACGAAATTGATGGTGCAGTTGTGGAAGAGGTTTGTTGAGATGCTCACTTTAAATGGCATTACATTTTAGGAAAAG